CCCCCGCCCCCCCCCCCCCCCCCCTTCCAGAAATCACCTGGAGATACTGAGGGCACAGTACCACGTGGAGGAGATTGAGGCCTGACGGACAGCTTATTGTGCATCCCTGGGCACCCCTGGGACTTGTAATCTCCCTTTTTTCCGTACTACGGATTTCGCGTGGGAGGGAGAAAAGTGTCAGGCATTATCAGATAGGCAGGACATTTTTCTAACAAAGTTCTACTACTCTATGTTCCTTCGTCCCCGCGCACCCCATCCGCTCCGACGGCGGACCGCGATGCGAGCGGAGATGCCATGTATCCCCAGCACCGCGCGCGAGTAGTGGCCACCGTCTTTTCCCTATCGGCAGGGCCACCTACCATCTCCATGCAAAGAGACTGCGACGTGCCCTTTTCTAAACCTTGCACGGCCTACCCTTCCCTCACCTGGCGCCAGAAGCGGGCAAACCGCGGCGGACCTTGTGTTTAAACTTGGGCAATTTTTTGGAAACTTCCCAGCTCATTTGTTTTTTATTCTTTCCCTTCTTTCCCACTCTATTCTGGAGCCTGCTTGCCCATCAGCAAACAGTCTGTTTGTGTCATCTGTGTGATCAAGCCGGGCCTCCGATCCACTCTCACAGATACTTGAACTACCCAGGCGGGCTCCCCGACCGGGCTGCGGGCTTCCACCTCGTTCATGCCTCTATTCGCCACTTCTCTAGACACGAACCCGGCATACCCTTGTGCACTGGATATCCTGTCTGCGCTTTGTTCACCCTCCCCTCACTCCGCCGTCAGATCCAGTTCCCACTTTGTACTTACGCGACTGGCGTTTTTCTTTTCCCGCATCACCCGCTTCTAGATCTAGGCCACGCCAGAGACAGGTAGGCTTCCAGACCCGCCTCGGGCTTATCTGGTACGGGTGCTGACTGCGTCGACGACAGTCGCGATCGTGAGCTTCCCGATACTTCGCGCTGCACTTTATACACCCTGCTACCAATGGCCCCGGAGTGGAAAGCATATAATTATGGGCGAAGGGTTAAAAAGGAATGCGGAGAGTACTGTTTGGAGTAACCAAACACAACGAAACGACAGCGCTGTCGCCGTCGTGCCTCCTGCAATGTCGGGGCTTCCTCCATTCCGCCTCGCCCCTAACCCGCCTCCGGCCCGACACCCGCACCAAAGGAATTTTTCCAGTTAGTCGATGAGTCGTCAAAGGAATAGCTTGCTGTGTGAGGGCCGCTTGATCTCTGGGCGGGAGATTGGGAAACAGGACGGGAGGCATGGGTGCGGCCGTGTCTGCTCAACCATGACAACCTCAAGTACCGGACCCGCTTCAGTCGGCAGCTGAGTGCAAGAATTTTTAGCTGTTGCCGATCTTCGTATCGAAGCCCCTTAGGTTGACGAAAGGCACCAGGCTTTTCGCTGGAACCCAAGGGTTAATGTTTGGAGCCTCGGCAGAACACGAAGCGCCGCAGCCGCGTGGGAGACAGGAGGCTTTGAGATGGTGCACTGCATAGGTTTTTTTATTTTCCCCCCTTCTATAGGGCTGAAACCTGCCATCGTCGGAACCCCTTATACACTCTATTCATCCCTTGCTGCACAGTGTCATGTGGTGGATACGATGTAGGTGAAACTTTGGCCCGCAAGGGGCACCTGTGGCTTGGTCGGCAGCGTAGGCCTGGCCAGACCGCAACGTGTTGCGGGAGCAGTGCGATGCTCTCAAAGGCCTACGCTGCCGGGGGAGCCACAGATGGGCCCTTGGCACTCAATTATTGAGGAGAACAAGGCTAGACACAGATATGTACAGAGGGCCGCGGTGGGCGGGTGAGACGCTGTTGCGGAAGAAAGCCTTTGCCACAGGACCTGGCGACGATGCCCTTATGAACAGCCACGAAGTGTCGTTGTAGAACGACGATGTGAACGTGGGGGAAGAGGGGTCGTTGACCTGCCGTTTCCTGGTGACTGGGGGGCTTTCTCCGCAATGGGCCCAAATAGAACCAACCACTGATGTCGGTGGGGTACAGGCCGGATCCCTGTACAGTAAAGCCTATGATCAATAATACTTTAGTGGGTCAGCCCGTCACTCTGGCGGGCTGCCCAGGGTCACCAAGCGCCGCTTGATTTCGCGCGACCTCGGCGCTTTGCTGTTTCTTCCTTCCACAACACAAACTCACACCACGATGCATCCCATGCCACCGCCTGGGCTACAGCCCTGGCAACAGCCCAGACCACTGCTTCCACTTCCACCCGACTTTTACGCCGACGTCGACAGCGACTCGAAAACTACGCGGGAAGCCGATTTCGTCAGTCACTTCAGCCTCTAATTGCCGGCAGGCTAGATAGTCTTCTCGTGCTAACACCCTGTCCCAGAGCAGAACTTTCGACTTGGCACTCGACGAGTTGCGGCGCGCGGGAAGGTGTGCGGCCACCACCCCAATGTGGTGTTTCTGCGCGTGCTGCCGAGCACGCTCGGCCGACTTTCCGATTGCCTGTCCCGCCTCCTCCCTGCAACGTGGAGAGACCGCTTCGAGGCGCGATGGCCCGAATGGTTCCTACCCGACCGCATTATTTTGAAGAGAGAGAAGCCCGACTGGAAGGAAGAATTCGACAATGAGGTGGGAATGTACAAGCTGCTGGCCCCCTTGGGCGGACATGTCGTGCCCAAGCTTTACGGCCAGACTGAGTACCCGGGCACAGACGACGTCAGGAGGCGCGCACTTATCATATCAGACATCGGCGGGATCCCACTAGGCGAGCCCGAGGTGGGCTCGCTTCCCCTCGGTCGCGTCGAAAAGATGCTGAATGACGCGTTCCAATCAATCGCCGACGCCGGGGTTAATTATTGCGACGCGAAGCTGGACAATATACATGTGGTGGACGACAGGATCATGCTTATCGATTTTGATACGTCGGAGCCGGTAATAGAGGACATGGATCCAGAGTATTGCGCATATACTGCCGTTAATCACGTTCTGAGGCAGTACATAAAGTTACACAATCGCTTTCCCAATGGCATTCCCTGGGGCGTGCTCCCTAGTCATCGGAGACCTCGGCAAACTTGGGAAACTGTGGATCTATCTCGACCTGGGCCTCTTCCGCAAAGTAAGGAGACTGCAGACCTATCCATTGTGGAACGGTAATCCCGCAGTTTTGCAGACTTGCAAATTTGACACAAGCATGCGAGCCTGCCCCGAATTTGCACGCCGCGCTGACACTACCTGGCACCAGAAAGTTTCGGAGCCGTGGCCAACAGGGCTCCGCAGCCGCTCGTTGGGAAAGCAGGACAGTAGGCGAATATAAAGCTAGGGTATGCGCGGTTGAGTGTGTAGGATAGCTTTCATAAAGGTAAGGCTGAAACAGTGGGCAGTCGGCGATGTTACTTGCGCGGGTGCTTTTAACCCGCGCAAGTACCCCAAATAAAAGATTTCAGACGTGAGGCGCTCTAAGCGCGCACCCAGGTGTGTGGGCTGGGGCCGAAAAGATGGAAAGTTAGCGATGTTCCACCTTCCAATCGCAGGGTGAAAACCAGCCAGCCTCACTCCACCTGCAAGGATAACAGCGGCGTTGTCACGGTTCGGCAAGTGCAAGCCCCCACCCGCTCAAGCCAAAAGGACGAGAAAGTTAAAGCTGACGCTTTGACTCAATTGGAGGCTTATCAGCCCTCCAGGCACTGCGAGACTGGCTGCGCAGCCTGAAAGGCTGCCGCGCCATAACAGGCGTCACGCAAACGCCCTTTGCAGAATGCGGCCATATTATGCGTGGGATGTGAGGAGGAAAGCGCATGCATATTTATCCTTGCAGCTGGAGTGAGGCGACATGGCGCCTATTACCTAGCTCATCTTGAAGGCCTCCTTCCCCTATTCCTGTTTCCTATTTCCTGTTCGCTCCACCCCCCAACATTCCCGTTGGGGTACCCAACACCGCCGCTTTTCCACCCCACGAAGAGCATTACCACTAACCATGTCGGTGCCGTTCAGCCAGATCCTCCAAGAGGCCACAACCAACCCTGCCCATGTTACGGGCTATAGATCGGGGACGGGCAAGGACTGGGCCAACCGATACCCCCCTATCACTAATACCAGATTGTCTGTGCACACTCGCGACGTTCCGGGGGCAGATGGTACGGAAGCAACCGTCGCCGGATGGGAAGCCATGGTCCCGCGCTTTAGCGACGACCAGTTAAGGTCGAGCACGCTTGTTGAAAGACCCAATCGGCGGCTTTACCGCTTCGACACCGAGTCTGACATGGCTCTCTGGTTCCACACCGAGATTTCAAACGTCGTTCTAGCCGCTTGGAACGACTTCCGAAGCCAAAGCGTGGACTGAGCAGCCCGGTACGGAAATCGTCGATGTTACCTACTCGCTGGTGGGTGGGGACAGGCCTCCGCTCGTTATCGGCGAGTTCAAAAGAAACCTCGTCAGCCGTGATCAATGGCAGGAGGGGCGCAATCCCTCTAAACCGCTGTCTCGAGAGCTTCGAGGGTTCGTCCCCCCCCCCCCCCCCCCCAGGCTCCGGCAAGACGTCACCTAACAATCAATTTGCAAGTCCAGATACGCGCACAAGTACAAGTGCCCCAGATCTTCTGCCTCGACGGCGAGATCCTGCTGCTGCTGCAGTTCCGCGCCGACACACCCGACCACATCCAGCGAGAGGATTGCCGGGTCGACTGCTGGGTCATACCGCGGGAGAACGCGGCGGGCGGCTGCACGCTGCGCCAGGGTCTCCATAACCTGCTCGTCCAGGGCTTCCGCCGCTGCCAGGGCTATGCCGCGGCCCCGAACCTGTCTGTCAACCACTACACGTCGCAGTACCGCGAGTTTTTCTCGGGCCGGCCCGTCTTCACCCACGACAACGGAGCGCTCAGCTATGAGCACCCCCAGAACGGGCACAACGATGTTTTTGACCGCGAGGTTGATGTCAACGACGGCTCCGTTTACTGGCGCCGGAATGGGAATTACTTGGTCCACGACACCGGGTCCATTTGGGGGTGATCTATTTTGTGTGTATATAGCCGTATCCTGCTCTCCCTCTAGCAGATTGACTCCTTCCCTCTTTATACACTTGCAGCTTGCCTCTCGTGTTTCGTTGGGTGTATGAGACCCTTATCGCAATCAGAACAGCGGTTCTGATTGTCCTGGCTTTTTAGCTTTGGTGGGAGGGGTCTCCTTTTGTCCAACCGCCCTGACATTGGGCCGGAAAGTGCCCTGCCTACCGTCCGGCCAACTGCAGAGCGCTGGGTTGGGCTGATTTATCCCCGGCTTCGAGCCACCACGGTGGTAACCAAGGGTGAATGCGCGCCATTGAGTGCAGACGCGAATGGCGTATCCGGATCGTGCTATGGTGGAGCGGAAGGGCCCAAAAGCACATTTCTCGTCTTGTTCATGGATTATGCACACTGGTTTGAACACGAATAGATGTGTAGGGTGGAGCGCAGTATACGGCGCTGTGAGCGAAGGCACGATTTGGATCCCAAATTTCTCCCAGTAGGGATAGCGCGGGTTTTCGGATGGGCTTGGCGGCATCTATCGAAACATAAGTGCGCGTTAACTTTGCCCTTGCGGGCTGCGCTCGCACAATCTTGTGAGGTGTGTTGGCAGCTTTCGCACTTCCGAGGCGGTTACCACAGCCGCGGAGAGCCAGTCATTTCCTCGCCTCAGGGTGCCATACCACCTCTTCCCATTATCGTTTATGCACGTCGAGGCTGCGCCAAGCCGGCCTCGTAGGCAGGAATGTTGCCTCGGAGTAGGGGGTGTCGGCCCATCGAAGTTGGCCTTGGGGATGCCTCGAGGTGCTGTCTATTCAGGCCGCCATGGCTAAGGGCAGGGGCGCTGCACGTGGCAGGGCTACCGCCCGTGGCAAGGTAGCTACAACTCGTGGCAGGGCGACTACACGTGGCAGGGACAACGGTAAAGGGGCTGTCGCGCCCGTTGACCCAGAGGTTACGGACCCGTACAAGGCCGGTACGGAGATGCCACGCAAATCTGCGCGTTATCTGGCCAATCTAGGCGACGTTGAGCTTGTAAACGACGAGGAAAACGAGATGTCGTTAATTCCTACTGATTTTGAAGGGAAATTGAACGTCAAAGCTGTCCAGCACGAAAATAAGGATATCGAGGCTCACAAAGAGCTTCAGGAGCTTATTTAAAGTTGTAGATAGCTTTAATTTGCAGTTGGCCCTTTGCAGTCAACCATCGAGCAGTAGGGATGCAAGTCATAGAGGTACATAGGTTGTGCATAAGTGCGCATACGATTTGATGGGAAAAGCACAGTGGTGGATGTGAAAATATTTGGCACTGTGGCCCCCACATTTTACATGCGGGTCAACGGATCGTACGTGCTCTTTAATTGACCCCTTGGCTAGCGGCCAAGGTCCCGGGATCCTATCGGCTCCGCGAGTTCTGACTTAACCTCATATGCTTTAGTACTGGGTGATTTTTTTTTTTTTTTTTTTTTGGAGAGATTGGGTTCCAAGGCGTCCAGAAACGGAGGTTTTCGCCTCCAAAAACGGATGCCTCTGCTCCCCTTTGCTCCCAGCCAAACGTTCCCCTACCGTCCAACAGCCGTCTGCTGCACCCTACCCTACACACCCACTTATGTTCCAACCCATGTGCATCATCCCTGGACGAAATGTGCTCTTGGCGCTTCTGCTCCCCCAATAGCACGACCCAGATACGCCTTTTCGTATCTGCACTCAATCACGCACATTCCGCCACCGCGACTAGCTACTAAGGGCGGCCGCGATTGGCTGGAGATGTTATCAGACCCAGTCAAGGTCTCGGGCGCTGTCGCTGGGCTGCTGGGGACGCCCGCGACTGACCCTGGCGCCTGCGGAGGCCTGGTCTGATGCCACGCAGCCTCTGGGAAATATCCGCGGTAAAGGCGGCAGCTCGTCGTCGAGACAGACCGCAGCTTTTCGTTTTCTGGAGAGGTAGCACCGAAGCTCTGCACCCCGGCTCGGGAAGGTACGCAGCTAACTTTAGCTGACAGTACACGCGGAAATGGTGACGGGCCCTGGTGCATAGTTCTCTTTGCTACCTTACGGTCTTTCGGCAAGCGATACGCGCATTCCAAATCGACCAGAGGCGTGCATCGCCGAAGCCCGGAGGCTCGACGCTGCCGTCACCACGAGCGACGGCGATGCCGCCGACCTCCATCGTTCGCGTGTTCGGTAATCTCACGCCGGAAGAAAACAACTTGCATTCCTCGTTTATTTTTCTCATGCCGCCGCCCGATGCCCTTCCATGCTCCTTTCCATGCTCCCCATGCCCTTTAACACTTCGAAACCTTGACATGGACATAAATTAATTAATTGTGCTAGCCTCCATTACTGAGGTTGCGTACGAAAGTAATGGCTATCCCCGATGTACCTACCAGGACCCCTTGTGACGGTCGGCTGTGGTCGACGTCGCACGCGCCTATATGAGCTTCAATGTCAAGCCACACGTGTAACTTGGGGGCCGAATGGGCCGCCGCAACGCTGTCAGGAACTTTCACGACTGTGCCTACTACCTATGCCTCGACAACACCTCAGCGGCCAGCGGCTTCTTAAGCACGGCCCCGGACAGCTCACAAGGGGCCTTTAAAGAGGTGCACTACTTTATGGACAAGCACCACATACATGTTCGTTGGTCACCGGGCCATATGGGAATTCCTGGGAACGAGGCAGCCGATGCAGGAGCAAAACTAGGCACCGCCCTCCCGATACCCCAACACACCAAACCGACGGTAGCTGGTGTTAAAGCCTTAGCCAGGAAGATAGCCCGGGACGCCCGGAACGCTTGGTTCGAGAATAACATACCGGGCCTGTTACGGTTGAGATCTTTACGGCTTAAAGGCTCGAGGAAAAACGTCAATTCGGCTAAAGGGACAAAGTGGTGGAAAAGTCAACAAGTGGTGCGGAGCACCCAAATGCGTGCGCTCCGTTGTATGCACGCGTGCACGGTTGCACGCGAGGTCACGTGATCCGGGCTCCGTGAGGCGACTGCCCGTGAGGGCACGCCGCGCCATAACAGGTGGACAGCCCAGATACGCGCCCGAGCAGCGGCCGCCAAGATGCCGTGAGGGGAGGCGGAAGGGTCGAGGTAGAAAGCCACAGGGCCGGGTCGACAGTGGCAAAAAAAGTCCCACCGACCAAAATACTGTACACGCGGGAGAAACTGCGCAAGAACGACGAGGCAAGGAGCAGACACGCGTGGCGCGTCGGGTATGGAACAGGGAGTCCCTGAACCGCTGGACCCTGGTTAGCTCGACGACATCTCCGCTGGTCAGCCCTGGCGGTTCCAGCCACCGGCACCAGGGTGTACTGGGCCCCGTAGCTTGTGCTGCGACACCCAAAACGGCTGTGGATAGGGAGTGCCCGCAGGGCCCTGCTGTAGCCTTGGTTCCCTCTTCACTCTTGGTTCCTGTTCACAGCCTCAGCGCCGCGCCGACGAGAGCAAAAAACCCAGCCTTTCGATAGGCCATCAATCAGAGATGCAGGTGTGGCTGCGCACCGCCTCGCTGCCGTTTTGGGGCTGTGCGAATCGGCCGTCACGTTGATGCCTTACCCCTCCCTTCGCGACCTGACGATGCGCCTTCCAAGTTCTCGACAGCCGCTTGTCGACATCTTGGCCACGACGTCCATCCGCCCCATATCGGCTGATTGCTGATTTTTCATTCTCATTTCGTAAGTGCTACCGGCTTGCCGTGCAATGGAGGCTTTGGGAGCAGCAGCAAGCGCCGTCGCGGTGATCGAGCTCGCCGCAAAGGTCGGCGCACTCTGCCTACAGTACTCCCGCGATGTCAAAAGAGCCAAAGACGACATCGACCGCTTTCGACAGCAAACAGAGGCTTTGAAGACAATCGCCGAAGGTGCGCAGCGGCTTTTGCAAGGTCCAGATGGGTCTCGATTTGAGACCGCGCAGAACCTGCGCAGCGCCCTTGCGAACGCCCGCTCGCAGCTCGATCCCATTCACACGAGGTTAGAGGAGAAACTGAAGAATGGCCGTACGCATCGTGCTATGAGACGTATGGGTCTGCGCGCCTTGGTATGGCCGTTCGAAAGCAAAGACGTCGAGAAAATCATCAGCGACCTCCGGCAAGAGCGGGACGCGATATCCGCCGCACTCCAAGTAGATCAAACGTTCGTCACCCCACCTACAAGCCTTTATTACGTAGCTAATTTCGCGCAATAGCAAGCTCACCGCCGACATCAACCGCAAAATCGACATTTCAAAGCTCCTTGTCGCGAAAGGCGCTGCATTCGATGCCCAGGCGAACGAACACGA